GTCCTCCTTTGTCACGTGCCACTTCTTCCCTTTCAGCTTCTAACCCACAGGCAATCATCTACCGTTATTTTTATCTGCCGCCTCAAGGTATTAGTTTACCTGGTGCTCGCGGATGCTTGGGAGGTCTTTGGGAGTGCTATTGGAAGTGACAATAACATGGATTCCTATTTTGCAGTAAGAAGGAATGGCAGTCTGTTGTGGCATGTTGGCTGCTGTAGAGTTTCTTTTTTCAGTGCTGTTACAGCACTGTTAAATACTGTTTACTCGGATGGAACTAGTTCTAACTGCATCTTTTCTTAAATGAATGTTTTGGCTAATTAAGGAAGTACAGGTGATCAGTACTAAGAGGTACAGCCCTCTCCTTCACAAGAGCGCCTTCAAGGATCCCATTCCTAGCACACTGTGTCCAAATTCTCCAGTTAAGGAGCTAAATGTCGCTGGGCTTTATTGCACCTTGACACGGACATATAACATGTCCTGTGGAGCCAGGATGTAATTGTAATTCTCTTACCTGCAGAGATGTTTCCCACTTCTTCACTTTGGGATTTATCTGTTCTGGGCAGCCATATTCTAATGGACTTGCAATGAATGTCCTCAAATGCAGAAGTTCTTAAACAAGACATAAGGTTTTGTCCAGCTGCCATCTACAGACGGTGTTTATTGTCTGTCATTAGGAGCTGTCATAGAACCACTTACCCTTTATTCATTAAGGTGCGTATTTTTGCAGCTTTTTGTAAGGAGTGATAATAGTACATGAATAAAGTGGAAATCGAGCTTTTAGTTGCCGTTTTGGATTTGGGGCCTCTGCGTGCTTGGAGGCAGGCTGGCAGATGTTCAAGTCAATGTAGAATAGAGGAGTGAATTTAAAACACAGGTTACGTAAACCTAATGGAGTGCACGCCACTGACACGCATTGTTGCTGCTCCATTGAAATTTATGGTGCGATGGCAGTTGGATGAACTGACTGAAGCTTTTGTCTCACCTGAACCCTTCTTAAAAGAAGTTTGTGTTCCTCAGCCACAGAGCCAGAGGAACAAGCTCTTCATATCCCTGTTCTGAAAAAGCCTTTCATACCTCAGGCCAGAACGAGACACCTTTCTGGGAGAACCGTGAACCATATAGCTAAGCAGACTTTGGGGATTTGAACTCGGTCCAACCCAGATTGGTAGCATCTGTTACGTGTAATGAAGTGCATGAAAAACACACAGAATGCGCCGGAAAACTTGAGGTTGGTTTTGAGGAGTGATTCAAGTTGGCATTGCTGCTGGAAAAGCGTCCTGTCCTAGCACCTCCCATGGGCATGATACTGAGCAGGCAGCCACCTGGCTGAAGATGGCTCTTAGCAGGTTGAGGTCCCCAGTCTGAATTGTTGCACAGCTATGGAAATGATGGAACAGGCACTGAGGAGCGACAACGGATTTCCTTCAGCAGCAGGCCTGCTTTCCTGAGGTCTTGTGTTTGTTAACAGCCTGGGATTATCCTGAGTTTCTACAGCAGTCAGGCCTTATCTGAAAAATGAAGGGTTGGGATACTATCCTGGCTATTGTTTGGGATATAAATAAAAATCCAGTGTAACTAAACCAGCTGAAAGCATGAGAGAGCTGTGTTTCACTCTAGTCAGACTTAGCACTTCGGTGAAAACTGGCCCAACTTTGAATTACCTTATGTTTAGAAATTATTTGTAGGGTATAGTGTGTTTTCTTGACAAACCTTTCTAGCAACTTTTTAAGACCAAGTTGGGCAAAACCGAGAAGATTGACAGATGCACTAAACGTGTTTGTATTGATATTGAACTTTTTTAGCAATTAGTGTTTCATCATTCGGATTTTCCTGAGTGGATTCTGAAATCAGTTTGCAATGAAAGAGCATCAATATCAGAAGAGGCCAGTAATGACCGTTTTTATGCTGGGGAATTGATAAAATATATGGATGGGTTTTTTTTCTTCTGTTCTCTTGCACCTGTAATTCTGAGTTTCCAGATTTGCAGTGCTGTGTCACCTGCTTCCTAGGGGCAGCCAGTATGTAGTGGAAGGATGTGACTCTTGAGCTGCATCTGCATGGCGGGCACGTCGGCACTGGGGCTTTGCGCGTAAGCGAGGCTGAAAGTTTGCGTGCTCTTAGCCGTATAAACGTAGTAGGAGCTGCAGAATTGGCTGGGGTGGTCAGTGTGAGAGGTAGTGCTGCCATGGCTACGCCACCAGCCATTCCGGAATGGGCCGGTTTTAAAATTAGCGTGGGCCTTCCTACACTTCCTGCGCCTGTTGCTGCAGAGATGCAATCCGAATCCAGTGTCTCCAACACGTTAGTTTTTTCACTGTCATGACAGTTAGGAATAATTGTGTTTAATACATTCCTTCCGAATGCTGGCTGTGTTTGCTGAGAGGGTAAGCTATAGGAAGCGTTTCTCCATAGGGGGCAGCAGGCCTCTGCCTCAGGCGGTTGCTCCTAGGCTCGTGCCGTGTGCTTGGCTGATGAGCTAGCAAGCCAGAGGGGTCTTAAAAATCCACGTACAATCAGTATGCCAGCGCTACAGTGCTGGGTGTTGTATTTCCAAGCAGTTACCTTTCTAATGCAGTTTTTTATTTGTGAAATGTAAGTCTCAGACTGACACAACACTCTCCAGAAATGTTCCAAACAACAAAAGTGTTTAAAATAACTTTTAGAAACGTATTTGAGCCTTGGCACTCCAGGAGTTTTCCCTCCATTTCTGAGTTCTTCACTCCTTTGGCCAAGTTTGTGAATGGGGGTCTGGTGGAAGAACTCAGCTTTGAGTTCCTAATTCACTGATTTGTGGAAGGGCAAGCCTTGCCTCTCTTAGGAAAAAGACGGCAGGATCCATTCTCAGAGACCGGAAGTTGTGGCAAGTCCTGAAAGGAAAACATTATGATCCCTCGTGGCTGCCTTAGGATATGAAATATTCATCCAACCACCCCTTCCTGGGACAGAGGTGAAGAATGGGAGGAAAACTACACATTTGTTTATTTTCTTTTTTAAATATACCTCTCCAAGGAACATATAAAACTGCACATTTATATATGTTGGTTTTTTTACAAAATACAATTTTAAAATTACATATTTGTAATTTTTAAAAGATTACTCTTATTTTTCCAGCTCATGAAACAAACCCAAGCATAGAGCTAATGGCTCCCTACATGAATTTAGGCAAAGATACATGAAAATCAGTTGTACACAGTGTGGTCTTCTCTTCCTCTCTGGGCACTAATTAGCGAGCACGTGAGCATTATCATACGTGAAGGCATCCAGCTGTATTCTTATGCTCTTCAGTAGAGCTCGGTACTTGTTACTGAATTACCGGTTCTGATTCAAGCGGAAGATTCTGTTCTCTGTAGCAATCGGTGCCCTAAGTTTTGGGAGCTGGGTGAAACATTGCCATGCTTCTTATGGCTGTTTCTTAGCTTGGATCTCCCGGTCATCCAATGGGAGCTGTCATGAGAGTTACTCCTTCTTCAGTAGAATCGGGAGTGTTGCAAACATTCCTGTTTATTACCAGAAATGGTTTACATTATAGAATCATAGAATGGTTAGGGTTGGAAGGGACCTTAAAGATCATCTAGTTCCAACTCCCCTGCCATGGGCAGGGACACCTTGCACTAGACCAGGTTGCTCAAAGCCACATCCAGCCTGGCCTTGAAGCCATCCAGGGATGGGGCATCCACAGCTTCTCTGGGCAACCTGTTCCAGTGCCTCACCACCCTCTCTGTGAAGAATTTCTTCCTGACATCTAATCTAAACCTCCCTGATTTCAATTTATACCCATTACCCCTTGTCCTATCACTACAGGCTCTTGTAAAAAGTCCTCTCCCCGTACCCTTGTAGGCCCCCTTCAGATACTGGAAAGCTGCAATGAGGTCTCCTCGGAGCCTCCTCTTCTCCAGGCTGAACAAGCCCAGTTCTCTCATTTAAAAAACAAACAAACCCCCCCAAACCCTCTAGGATGACATGGTAGACGGATCTGTGTTAGACCTTGAGGGCTTACAAAAAAGTGTTGTGCTGGTTCTGTACTTTTTGTTTCCTCCTAAGTATTGAGAATTAAATTAATTTTTGGTGGTGAAGACTGCATTTGCCTCGTGTACACCCACACACCAGGTAATTTACTGCCCTTTTTTTCGTGTTTGGCGTAACTGGGCTGCTGCTAATAAGGCTGAACCATAGCACAGCGTAAGTTGAGGCAGTTCATGGCACCAAGCATCTCCACAGCCAGCTTAGGCTAATGCTTGCGTGCATGTAGTGTGTGATGGAAAATGGGTGGAAGATCTCCATGATAGGTGCAGCCATAATTGGTATTGTTCACTGAACAGGTATTTTACCCACAGATCTGCTATTGTCTGATGTGTCATCAGTCCATTAGGGTGAGAAACAGTACTAAAAATAACAGGATAGGCCTGCTAAATACTGAGGCTTGTTAAAATAGTGACAGCAAGCAGGCCCATCTTCCATTCCACATGAAGAGTCTCACGTAGCTGGTCCCCTCTGTAGACTCAACCTAGTGAAGAGCAAGTTGATTTTTATGGGTTGATGAGGTGTCTATGACAGTCTTCTGATGTTGATGTATCTCTGAGCCAGTCGTTTATTAGAGAGTTACAGCAAAGGACATTCTTGTCAATAACCAGTTTTTAAAATACTGCTTTTTCTAAAATGTTCAAAATTAAAAGGAAAAAAATGCATAGCTTAATTTGCCAGATAAAGTTAGTTTTAATTTGTCATATTACTCCTGATAAAGGGAGCTTGCATGCGATAGTTTCGTGCTGGTTTTTTCATCTGGGAGAACTGAACCATTTCGGATCTCTTAAATGACATCTGTAGTTCAGATGGCAGTAAAATAGACAATTACGTGGTTTTTCGTTTTTCCCCATCTGAAATAATGCAAGTCTGGTATGGTTCCACAGACACCGGTGACTTTGAAAATGATGAACCTGGTTGTTTTGCACGAATATGAAAATCCTTGGTAATTTTTACGTGCTATAATGTGCTGACAACAGTTCTGGAGACGAACCACCAGTGAAGGTCCACTTGGTACTGTGCCGTGGAAAAAGTCGCTTTTCTGGAATGCGGCTCTGCAGAGTGTTGCTCAGGATTTCTGGTTTTGGCGGAACTCAGACGACAAGCGTGAAGAAACGGAAATTGTGCGTGTCCTGCCTTGTGCCACAATCCTTCTAGTTAAGCTAGGTGTTTGCTTTCTATGTTGTTCTTTTAAAGAAAACCCATCAAAAATTGAGGTCTGCTTTCTTGAATGATGCCGTTGTGAAACTGATTTTCTGCTAGACATAGAAGTATGTTCTGATATGTTTTTAATAATACCTGATGACTTACAGGACAAAGGCTTCATTACCAGTAAGTAAATTATATGCAGCTGAGCATGCTGTTACTTATTCTGATGCTTGGGTTAGAGAGGGATCAGAGGGGATAACGAAGGCTTTCAAAAAGACAAATGAAAGCCTGAGTTGCTGAGTTAAAGCAGTTTTATTACTGTTTGGATTGGGGGGTGTCAGAGAAGGAAGCACTTTCAAAAACCTTTGATAAACATTCTTCTGCGTGATCGGACCGACAGAGAATGTAACCTGCTTGTTTAAATGTTTTTGCTCATGTCTCTGTTTTTTCTGTACTAGAGCACCGATAGAGTTTTGTAAATTAAGTTACGTGAAAACTCGCGGTAAGAACTGAAGCGAGAGTGGCAAAATCGTGGCTTCACAGTGTGCGTGCTTTTCGTGCCCGTCGTACCCACACGTGTTTCACGTGTCGGTGCCGTGCGGTGCCTTACGCTTTTGTTCTTCACGGCGTGATTGAAAAATGCAGATTAATGCAGGGCTAACATATCTGCATTCTGCGACGCGTGTTTGGCTATTCAGAAAAATAGGATATAGATTTCAGTGAGCTATCTTTAGCTATCGTAAGGCCTTTTTAAAAGCTGCCAGGAACATTTTTTAGGAAATGATTTCCCATTTTGCATAAATTTTAACACCTGTTAATTGCGGTTGCTTTTTTCCCTTCTCGCTGTGTCACATTAGACACCCTGGTTATCAAAGTGATCCTATCACTATGGTATGTCTCATAATTATGATCAAACTGTTATCTAACATTCCTGGAGCATTCTTTTTTTCAATACTTAATACCTTTTATTCCTTGGCCTCATGCATGAATTATGCTGTGTATGTGAAGAGGCTTAAAGTTTGTTTCCATTACATTCTTTCTGAATGGATCCTGTTGTATCTAGGATTTTTTTAAAGCCAAGTAGGAATGTTATTGTTGACCTTGACACCAGATAACTGGGCAGACATTATATAGCTATGTTTGAATCCTCACAAAATGTGATGCTAAAGCCAACAGAATCCTGGCGTGAGACCCTCCTGGACAGCAGAGTTATGGAGCTTTTCTTTACAGTAAGTTTCTTTCTTCAACTTTCATAGCCCAGACCACAGGGAAAGCAGCTCCTTCCTGTTCTAAAACTGTTGTTGGACTCTTCCTTTGCATCAGGTAGGACTGATTCTGTTAACTTCTACTTGCTTATCAAAGCAAACTGAAATACTGTATTTTTCTTAGGCTGCCAAATATCTATCTTGCCTATAAATTGCCTTAAATTGATGGCCATTAGCAAAAAAAAGGGGTGTCTAGTTCTCTAAACTTTTGTACAAGTAATACTTGTCATGTATTCATGAGATGAAATCGAGCGTGGTGAGCAGGAGTTTCTTTCAGATAAGGTGCAGCGGCTCTCAAAAGAGATCAAATGAACAGTGTGTTTGCGGGTCTTACAGCATTTGCTCAACGGAACAGCTGAAAATGAGTAATGTAACTGTAGTTTTCTAGGCAGTTTCAGCATGTGGAATTCTGCATCTCCTTCCTCAGCACAAAGTAAATCCGATCAAGTTAAAATAGGTTAAGTTAGGACGGGTGGAGAAGAGGTAGAATTGGGGTAGGGGAATGTAATACTCAATTTTTATAGCTTAAAACCCCCGTGATATTAAAATTGGATAAAATTAGTACTGTTTTCTTTCTGCCACTGTTGGGGGAGAAGTTTGTAGTCTTTGCTCAGCTGGGAGCTACTGCAGCAGCAACACTCGTTGGCTTACAAATTCGTTTACTATGGTATATTGTCCTATGTTACATCTCCTGGGACCCGAGACTTCAGCGTTCTCAGGCTGTCGTCGTTTTTGCACAGCAGAGAAGTAATGTGCTCGAAACTTGGACAAAGCTGTTACTAGACAAAGTAGATGTAACTCTCCATTACGGCTTGAGAGTTATGTGATACGTGCTTGGGTACATGTCTGTCCTTTATAAGATACTTTTTTGTGTGTGAATTAGATTGATTTTTTTTTTTTTTTAAACTGCATGCAAGTTTATCTGTTCCAGCAGTTTTGAAAAGGTGAAAAAATCGCTGGCAGAACTCTTAGCAGCTACACACACTCCGAACAGCTGTCTAGACTATCCAGACAGTTGCTGCTGTCAGCTGTGAACCTCCACATGCAAATAACTTTTTGGCTTACATATTAACCCTTCCTCGTTTAATAGCGTGAAGTTGTCAGCGCCAGATAGCTGTGTCTTTGGCTGGTTTACAATTACATATTCGTGATAAGAATAATGTTTTGAATAACATGCAGAATTGTTTTAGTACATTTGTGTTTTAGTCAATGGTAGCCAAAACCTGCCCGTATTTGGTTATTTTGGAATGAACGCTGCCAGGGCAGTGTGCTCTCAGCTTTGGGTTTAGATTCCTGATTCGCAGTGGTTGGGGCTTGTAGCATTAGTTTGCTATTCCAAGTCATAGAAGTGAATGGTAGAAATTTATATTCATTTATCTGATCTGAGAAATCTTAATATCCTTGCAGAAGTTGGCAGGGCTGCCATGTTAGTGAGAGCCTTCCGTTCTGATCTCAGCCTAGTGCAGGACGTCTGTTAGGAGGTTTTTCTCCTGCCAGTTTGATCTTTCCGAGATTTAACTGTGCAGCTAATCCAACAGATAATGAGTTGGGTGAAGCTGCAACTATAATGCCATGGAGAAATGGTTAGTGTTTTAACTGGACTTTTATGTATAATGTTGCTGAAGTAACGTAACTAAAGTTACTTCTGGTTGAAAAAGCTACCCTGTATTTATTTATTCAGTAGATCTGTGGAAAAAGTAGGAGGTGTGAGCCGAAGAAAATTCTTTAAATCCATACTTGGCAATTACAATAAGTATGTGAGAATACGATTACTGAAGTAGGAAGACTTGAATGTAGAAAGTCTTACCAGCAGAATTAATGACATAACAGTTCGCAGAAATGCAGGAAGATTACTGTTGCCTTGCACAGTGTAAGGCTGTTGCCAAGGAAGTGATGCGTTCATTTTTGTCTGTCTTCAGTGTTTACCTCTGCTAAAGAAGCATCTCTATAATCTTGATTGAGCTTGTTGACTAACTTTAGCAAGACTCCGTAGCCTAGGCATAGTTAGCATAATAGAGATGGCTGTCATTATTGCTGTTTTTAGAAGGAGCAGTATGTCTGACTGGCTGGCATCTGTTTCTCTCTTTAAGACATAACAGTCAGTAGACAGTTCGATTTTCAACATGTAGGTGAGACCTAACGAAACGTTAGTTTCAGTGAGTTAACTCAAGGCTTGCGATTCTGTCAGCTGAGTCACGATCTTGACATTTACTGTGGTTTAGAGAGTTGTAGAAACCCTTGCGTTTCACACTGAATGGAAGCCGTAGTAAGCTTTTTTTGGTGTGTGCTCTTTTGGATTGAGAGCCATGTGACTGTTGTAAGAACACCCTATTTTCCATGTATTATTAACTCTCTCGCTTCCTGAAAGGTACATCGGAAAATCAGAGAAGATACAGACATGGCCCAAGATTCATTGCAGTGCCTGGCACAGCTGGCGTCCTTGCACGGGCCCGTCTTTCCCGATGAAGGTTCACAAGTTGACTACCTGGCACACTTCATTGAGGGATTACTGAACACTATCAATGGGTATGTATGCCTGCTCTCTAAATTTAGGTGGCATCTCTTCGTCTTTCATTTGGCGGGCAGCATATCTGGGGGGAGAACTGGTACGTCTTTCTTATTTCTGGGTATAATTTGTGCTTACTCTTGGGTTACTGGAATTAAGAAAAGGCAGCTTAAGGTAGGTGGTGCTTAAATAATACGAAACAGATTTATTGATTGAAAATGTACCAACAAAATCAATGAATTTTTTTAGTTCCTAATGACAAAAAAAAATATAACTGCTATTTCTGTCTATAGGATTGAAATAGAAGACTCTGAAGCAGTGGGAATTTCCAGTATTATCAGCAACCTGATAACCGTATTTCCTCGCAATATTTTAACTGCCATTCCAAACGAACTTTTCTCTTCATTTGTTAACTGCCTCGCACACCTCACTTGTTCTTTCGGAAGAAGTGCTGCCTTGGAAGAAGTGGTAAGTAGCTGCTCTCAAATAATAGGCAGTCTTTTTTGTTTCTCTCTATCTGTAATATGTGACACGAGAACTTGGCTGTTTCATTAATAACTGTCGTGAGTTCAGTGGTTTTGTTCTTTGTGTCTTTTTTTCTGAAATCGCATCTGAGGGGATTTCCTCTTTGTTTCAAACAACTTAATGAACATAATTACACACTGTGTGCATCTTTCAGACTTGGTCTTGATTAAAAGCACTTCTCTCATATTTTCCTTTTCGAAAGAACAGATTAATTTTTAAAACATTAAAATCTTTAAATATTGCTGGCTTGCTCTTGTAGGATATCTCTGAAAACTGTTGTTGAGACTGAACGAGCTACAGTCCTGAAAGCTTAAAATGACTGTGTGAACATAGGGGCAGACTGAAACGGAACTGCTGTCAGGAGTTCTGAGTCGGGAGCTTCTGCTCTGAGCGAGTGTAGCTGTGAGGATCTGTTGTTAATCCCATACTCCTAAACGGTTTGAGTCATCCCTTCATCGATGACACACTTCAAATGGTGATTCTGTGTACGAATCTGCAATGGAAGCTCAGAGGATTTTTTTCTGTTTGTGTACTTCTTTCAGACTTTGGTTACAACATTAAAGAGCAGGAGGGAGAGTCAGTCTGTCTTCTTAGAAGCTTTCGTTTTTAATGCAGTTTTTAGAAGCAGGAGACCTAGTTTAAGGGAGAAAGCCCATACAAATTAAGGTGAATAATGTTGCCCGTGAGCTATTTATGTGCAATGACTATTGATTTAAAATGAGATTACCGAGATATTAGCCAATATTTCCCCATTATCATTAAAAAGCATGAATATTTACCTGTTTTGCTATATTGACTGGGCTCAATTACCTGAGTTTGAAAACAATTAGATAAGGATTTATTTATAAAGTTGATGGATGTGTTTCTTTACCAGAGATCACAGGCATGTTAATTAGCATTCGTTGCAGAGCACTGGGTCATGCTTTTGCAGCAAGGTTAAAGTGTATTGCCTTTGGCCCAGCACTCACTTAAACTTTCAGGTGTGTTCATGTCCATCAAAAAAGCGTTGATTAAATTTAGATTCTAAAATACAGCTGTTTTCTAAACCTTATTAGTCAAAACCTGCTTTTGAGATCTTTCTTGTAGAGCACTGAACGTAGGTTCTGGTGCTCACCAACACGTTCAGGAATGCTGCTGAAGCCTTTAGAGACAGGATCCAGCAGAATCATAGGCACTTATCATGCTACGGAGACTTTTAAGTTATTGCTGACTTCATCCATGTGGCATACGGATACTGTGTGCTCTGCCTGTAGAAATGGTACTTTGCATCCCTGAAAACAATCTTGTGGCTTAGGAATATCCAAGCCATGGTTACTGTGTTCCCCAAGCTTCTTGCTGGTAGTGACACCTGTGAGCTCATGCTGCCTGTGATTAAGAGCTTTTCATAGATAAAATACCCTGTGTGTTGGGCTCAGAGTCCTCAGATGATATTCCTGGAACTCTTTGGAAATCTGAAGTGCAGCAGACTGCCGGCAGGCATACTCCTTAAGCTTTGCTGGTCGGGATTTTTCCCTATGTTTCTGCCAGTTCATGTGCCAGCTGAAGGTTTCCTGAGAATGTTGCAGAAACCCCATCAGGCACAAGGAATCTGCTTAGCTGAAGACCTAGTGCAGAAACAGGGAAGGGGCTACAAGGAAGCTGGGGGGGACTTTTTCCAAGGGCCTGTAGTGACAGGACAAGGGGTAATGGGTTTAAATTGAAAGTGGGGAGGTTTAGATTGGATATCAGGAAGAAGTTCTTCATGGAGAGGGTGGTGAGGCACTGGAACAGGTTGCCCAGAGAAGCTGTGGATGCCCCATCCCTGGAAGGGGTCAAGGCCAGGCTGGATGAGGCTTTGAGCAACCTGGTCTAGTGGAAGGTGTCCCTGCCCATGGCAGGGGGGTTGGAACTAGATGGTCTTTAGGGGACCTTCCAACCCAAACCGTTCTGTGATTCTATGAAACTGTCAAAACTGGGATGTCCTGAGCATAGTATGCAAACCACTTCTAAGCAGCTAATACTGATTTTCAGCCAAGGGGGAAAACTCCACAATCCAAACATTCAAACGCTGTTGTACATCAACCTGTTGGGGCTGGGGAGACTGGCTGAAGGAGTTGAAACCTTTGCCCTAATTGCTACACTGGTGGAGGGCAGCCAACTTCAGCAGTGCTGGGGGCTAGTTGATGGGGCACGTTGGACCACTAATCTCTTCCTTTAATAGCCCTGGGTTTGAGGGAAGATGCTTGCCCACAGCCGTGCTTTGCCTTGCTCAATACTTCATGCTTATGCAGAAGTAACAGTCCGTCTGAATTAATGCATAGTATGAACAGGATGTTGGATGAAGAGTCAAATAGAAATAGAAATTATATCAAAGGCTTTTTTCTCAAAATGAGTCTTAATGCACTGTTCCTCTTTCATGATATTTCTAAAAACATGATGGGAGAGATGATTCTGAATTTGGGCCTCTGCTGTGCTTCCAACTCTTTCCAGCTCGTGGCTGCTCGACAGATTTTAGATGCATTCTTTCTTCAGAAGGTCAGCAGACTCTGAGGGAAGAAGTACCAATTTTTGTTTCCCATACTAGAGAAAAGAAGCAGCATCTTTGCTTTGACTTTAATGGTTGTATATTCCCCCTCCCGAAGACCTGAGTTCTGAACTGGGCTCTGCCATGGCTTCTGAGGGATCAATGGTTCAGCTCCCCAGGTTACAGCACGTTGCTTGCTTTACCTGTATGACCTGTTTGGTAGCTCAGCTGTAGCTACTCTGTAGTAAGGATTGGGGATTTTTAGCGAGGTTCTTTTGTCCATATTGAACAGATTTGGTCACAAACTGTCTCCTGTCTGGGCACGTGCTTTATGGAGGCTTCCTTACACAATACGATCAAGTGTTAAACCCATTTTTTTCATGGCATTAACTTCTGTATCGCCGCCTTAAATAAATGTATTGGGTAGGTTTGAGTTCTTCTGTTGTTCATAAAAAGACATGTCTGTTTACAGGTTTATGCTCTGGATTCCTACCGATTATTAAAAATCAGATGTGAATTGTATGTGTAAATATACTGCTGTATTACACACAGGTTATAAGCATTTCAGGACTGAATGACTGTACGAGTGTATCGCCGCCTTAAATAAATGTATTGGGTAGGTTTGAGTTCTTCTGTTGTTCATAAAAAGACATGTCTGTTTACAGGTTTATGCTCTGGATTCTTACCGATTATTAAAAATCAGATGTGAATTGTATGTGTAAATATACTGCTGTATTACACACAGGTTAAAGCATTTCAGGACTGAATGTACGAGTTCGTGCGTCCTTCAGCCAAGTTCTTAAAAGACGTGTTGTGGTGTCCATCCTAAATTTGTGGGTTATGTTAGTGCTGAATGCAATTTTACCTCTCTCTCGTCATCTTCAGCTTTTGTTTTCACACTTGCATCAGTGTCCCATGTTTTGCCTTCTGTAACTATGAGCACTTTGCCCTGACAGAATGATGCTATTTGCAATGCTTCCCACATGACTCCAGTTTTCCTCCTCCATCAGTCATTCCGGCCAGTGTTTTCTTTTCCTTGCCTGTTCATCCAGCTGTATTTGTAACTTTGCCACAGTCAGGAATTCTTCTGTCTGGAGCATGATTAAGGCCTTAATATCCCTTTATTTCATCAAGGGATCGTTTTACTAAGCTCTGCTATCTCAAAGTCACTTTTGTGAGCAGTGCTGTTGGTTAAACCTTGAGACGACTTCTCAGAGGAGAGAAACCTCCTGCTTTAGCAGCATGTTTATCTGCAGTCACTCTTAAGTTATTTGAGGTTGGATATATTTACTGAAGCTTGATTTTTTTGCGTCAAATTAAAAAGTTTGATAGGTACATTAAAAATACTTTTAAAAAGAAGTGGCCTCTTTGCTATTTGGGCTCTTTAGTTTGTCCGTAACCCAGGACTTTGTTTTTCAGATACGCTATTTTCTTCTACAACTCACCTACTGTGTAGGAACACATGGGAATAACTAAGAGCGTAGGTAAAAATGCGCTGAGCGATGGGAGGTGCAGGCTTGTTGGGTGTAATTCTGCTTTTTTTGTTTGTTCACAGAATGAGAAGTTGTGTGTCATCGTCAGAACTGGCCACCTGTAGTCAGGGTTCTTGAACACGTGCAATCTTAGATGATTTCGGCTGGAACAGAGAATAGTCATCTTTTGATTTCAGAAACAGTGGGATACATACAAATCTACCTGCATGTGTCCTGTATTTGTCTGTTTAATTAAAAAGAAATGGCTCAATTCTTTGTTGTTACTCGGCAGAGCTGGGATGCTTGGAATCTTTGGCATAAAAGCTCAGTAGCTCCTGCATTTAGGCAATTATGCATTGAAGGCTTCGTTTAAGACTGTTTCTGTTCTGAACATCAGATGAAGAGGAACAGCTGAGCACTGACAGTTTTTAAAGCCTAGCAAGGGTGAAAGGTGCACTGACCTTTTCGATGCGTTGCTTCAGTTCATTCTGATATGTTCTTGGCTGTCCTTAGGCGGGTTTTGTGACTGACTTTTAAATAGTTTCAACACTAGAAGAACATCTGTTAAATAATAATGAATGTAAGTATGTTCCTCTGGTTTGGTTTAGGAGTAAGCTTTCTGTTTTGTTTCTTTCATCTCTTACAGCTTGACAAAGATGACATGGTATATATGGAAGCATATGATAAGTTGCTGGAATCTTGGCTTACTTTGGTACAAGATGACAAACATTTCCATAAAGGTTTCTTTACCCAACATGCTGTTCAGGTCTTTAATTCCTACATTCAGTGCCATCTAGCTGCTCCTGATGGTACAAGGAATTTGGTAAGCCCTCGTTCTCGTAGTTCTTGATGCTGATGTATAGTAACTCGCCCACGCCCTTTAGCGTGTCGTACGTTACGTAGCTCAAGGGAGCTAGTGCAGAATTACTGTTTGTGACTTTGGAAAGGAAAACTTGGCCGAATTCATTACTCAGAGGTCATTTTCCAGACCTTTTCTCTCATTCTGAGGAGGATAAAAAGGAATACAAAGTTAGAAATCACTCAACAGGCATCTTGCTGTCCTTCCCACAGATGGAGTGACTAAATTTTTGACCATCCTTCTCTGGGCTAGGGTCCTAGTTAAAATCCCCAGTGAAATTGGAAGCCCTCCCATACATTTTCTTCAGAGGATACTTACGAAGTACATTTGACATGTAATTCTACATTCTTTCAGATATTTATACTTCTTCAGACTAGAAGAAACTTGCAATATTATGTGGGTTTTTTGGATAAAATGAATTCCCAGTTTGATTTTTGAGGTGACTGTTCTAAAGAAAATCCTGAAAGTACCTCAAGTATCTCTTGAACGAACCATTGGGAAAGAAAGCAGATTAGCCTCTCTGCCTGGAGTCTGGATCTTATTTAATAGATCCTTATACAGAAAGTTGGATGTAGATCTGGATGAATTAATTACTGCATAGATTCAATACAGTAACTGAATACAGTATCTCTCCAATTTGATGCCGTGCAAAGATCTCCAAGATATATCATCCTGAAGAGCACCATATAAAACTTAATTCTGCTATCTCAATGTGTAACAGATGGTAATAACAGTGCCAAAACAGAGAGAAGTATTTCAGGAGAGAACTTTGAATTCATATCAGGCAGTCTTGACATAACTTGTATGCACAGGTTAATTCATGTCGTTCTGTGAGATAAGTCATTTATCCTATGGGTAACCTTTTAAAAGCCACAGCTGGCATTTTAGAATGCTTCTTGTTCAGTATCAAAGCGGTAACAGGAACTTCCAGTCTCTGCTCTGAGAGCAGAGGCTCACCCTTCAGTAAACAGCTGCAGCTTTGAAGTTGCCAGAAGAGACTGATTTGCTGGGTTACATGAAGAAAAGATGGGTTAAAAGTACTTTGCATAAAGAGTTGTGTGTGGGTTCAGTTTTCCAGAGCCTCTATAGAAGCAAAGCAGACTGGTAGCTTTCACTGTCACTTGTATTTTACTGTTAGTTGTGTAAATTTTATCATTCTTTAAGAGATTTTTAGAAACAGTTTTAACAGCAGAACTTAGTTTCTACATTTCATGGTTCGTCTCTTCAAGGAATTAGGTCTGATTTATTATTTAAGTAGTTTTATAATGCAGCCAAGATAAGCTTTGAGAAATCAAATAGTGCCACATGTGGCATTTTGCTAATGAGTTTGTGAAATCCTGATTTCAAAATAATACAAAGCCATGTTTAACTGTCTAATTTAGTACAAGTCTATTGTTCATCCATGCAAGACACCTTGAAAGAGAATGTCAAAATAATGCAGAAAGTTGTGGTGGTGATACAGTGTAACAAGAATAACACTAATGCTTCCTTCTTATTTTGCTGAAATAACTGAAGACTGCCAATGGTGTGGCCTCTCGGGAAGAAGAAGAAATAAGTGAACTGCAGGAAGATGACAGAGACCAGTTCTGTGACCAGTTGGCCAGCGTAGGCATGCTGGGGAGAATTGCTGCAGAACACTGTATACCTCTTCTTACAAGGTACACAAGAGAGAGTCGTGAATGCAAGTCAATAAAGCCATTGCATGTGACAAGCCTGACTTTGCTCAAACAGTTTGAAAACAGTGATTTTATGTAATGTTGTTTGTCCACAGTTTATTAGAAGACCGAGTGACAAGGCTCCATGGTCAGTTGCAAAGACATCAGCAGCAGTTACTTGCCTCGCCAGCATCAGGCTCAATTGACAATAAAGTGCTTGATGACCTGTATGAGGACATTCATTGGCTTATTTTAGTCACAGGTTAGTGAAGGGCTTTAAATAGTACTTATTCTGGTATTCTTATTGCAGCTGGAACAACCTCAGGGGAAAAAAATCCCTGTGTATCAACAGCTCTTCATTGACTGTCAGTTTTACCCCTTGAGATGCTCTCCTCTTACGTACACTACTTGCAAAGCCTTTGTTTTACTTCCATCCGCCTTGAGTAACACGAACATTGTCTTTAAAAGTTTGATGACATCTTTACATGAGACAATATCCTTGGGAAATTCCCACAACTGATTTTGTTATAAGACTTCTTTGGAGATCTGTCAACCTATTCAACCTACTGGGGGTGCTGGGGGATGAAAAGCTGGACATGAGCCGGCAGTGTGCGCTGGCAGCCCAGAAAGCCAACCGTATCCTGGGCTGTATCCAGAGCAGTGTGGCCAGCAGGTCGAGGGAGGGGATTCTGCCCCTCTACTCTGCTCTTGTGAGACCCCACCTGCAGTGCTGCATCCAGCTGTGGAGCCCCCAACATCAGAAGGATATAGACCGGTTGGAGCGAGTCCAGAGGAGGCCGCGAAGATGCTCAGAGGGCTGGAGCACCTCTGCTATGGGGGCAGGCTGAGAGAGTTGGGCTTGTTCAGCCTGGAGAAGAGAAGGCTCCGGGGAGACCGTATAGCACCTTCCAGTACCTGAAGGGGCTACAAGGAAGCTGGGGGGGGGCTTTTTACAAGGGCCTGTAGTGACAGGACAAGGGGTAACGGGGTTCAATTGAAAGTGGGGAGGTTTAGATTGGATATCAGGAAGAAGTTCTTCCCGGAGAGGGTGGTGAGGCACTGGCACAGGTTGCCCAGAGAAGCTGTGGATGCTCCATCCCTGGAAGGGTTCAAGGCCAGGCTGGATGAGGCTTTGAGCCACCTGGTCTAGTGGAAGGTGTCCCTGCCCATGGCAGGGGGGGTGGAACTGGGTGGGGTTTTAAGGCCCTTCCAACCCAAACCATTCCATGATTCAAGAAATGAGTCTGTTCCTGAGATCAGTTGTATTGTTTGGGGGCACATGACTTTATAAGGGAATCAGCATGAGATCAGGATAATGGTATTACTCAGTGGTGTGGCAGACAATCCAGTAAGTTCTGAAATCTCTCGGTGCTGATGATCCATGTTCTGACATTTTATTATGTTTCAGGGAAGTTGAATTTAGAAACGCTTTGATTTTTTAGATGGAGCTACCTTACATCTGTTTGCAAAACATCCAGTGTCAGTGCTTTGTTAGGAGAAATGTATGCTTTAGGAAATATTTAGTGGCAACTTCTTGAACATGTGATGGCTTAGTTGCTCTCAGATGTTGACATGAATGCCTTTATAATATTTCTGTATCGCTGCGGAATGGAGTTTGTATTTGCAGTTCACAGATGGCTGTGAGATCAGGCATTGAGAACTCTGACTAATGCTGGCATTAATATTAATTATCTGGCCACCAGGGTGTGGTGTAAACCCCCATGCTTCACCTGGTGCGCCGTTGCTGTGCGAGGAAAGCATTGTCATAGCACACGTATTTGGCGTCTGAAAGCCTCTGACACGTTTGAAATGTTAGCAGAGGGGGAGTCCCAGGCGACGTGGGCACGGTGGGGAAGCTGTAAAATCAAGGCTTTTTGAACCGCATATCAGAAGAAGAAAAAAGTGACAAGAAAATCTTGGTTTGGGGTTTTTTCCCCCTCTCAGTAGTTGAACTGACTGTGGTACTTTTACATGAAGCAAATCTTATGTCTCTTATTTTTAAAATTTGCTTTTTAATTTGGTGGTTTCTTTTCCAGTCTTGGTTTATTGTCACTTTAGTTTCTTCTCTACTGACTGGCTCTATGGATTCTAGAGTTAACCTACACGTATTTAGACAGTGTTAGTCAGGGTTTGCACACGCATTTGATTCTGGTGTGATGTTTGCAGTTAAGCCAATGGATTCTCTAATCAAAAAGCCCTAAATTGACCTAGATTAGAAAGTTGTGATCACTCTTTCTTTTTTAATGTAAGGCTACCTCTTGGCTAATGATACTCAGGGAGAGACTCCGCTAATACCTCCAGAAGTGATGGAATATTCCATTAAACATTCAGCTGAGGTTGACATCAATACAACACTTCAGATTCTGGGATCTCCAGGAGAAAAGGCCTCTTCCATCCCAGGGTACAACAGAACCGACTCTGTAATTAGGTAAGGATGCAGCTCGTACTATTAACGTACCATAAATGCTTTTCAGGGAAAAAAGTGAGAATGTGAGTGGACTTCTGTGAATTTAAAAAAAGCAATATGCAGACACTGAACATTGGCAACGAAGTGTCTTTTTTAAGTAGTATTAAAGGAAGGGCAAATAATGTATAAGAGTGGCTTTATAACAGACATGTTAAGGCAGTGCTGTAAAAGAGATTATGGAAAGACAGAAAAGGTGAAGTGACTTTCTTTTTCGTGGAAATAAACTGAACAGTTTTTCTGTCTCTACTGAAAGCCCATCTTTGATCTATTTGTTACAGAAAGTCCTTACAATGACTTAAGTTACTAAGAAGTTGGTAGATCAGAATCTTCAGATAGTGTACGGTATAATTCATCCAGCAGACATGCAGCTTACCGATGCCCGGGAAAGCGTCGGATTAGGCCTGCTTACTTGGACTGGGAGTTACTGCCCGGGGTTGGCAGTAGCAGCAAAAGGGGTCTTCAGCGTGAGAGGACTCGTTGTACACAGATCACTGCTGGCCTGTAAAAGGAGCAGGAGTGGGGGGATTTCCGCTCTCTTTTTGCAAGAAGGCAAAGGACTCCTCAGTTTGAACCCTCACACTTGGGAGATTGCATTCCGCTTTTAATTGGCATGGAGGATTCTTCACCCAAGATGAGTTGCTGTGTACTCAGCTTCTTCTGGAAGAGGCTAGAAAGAAGGGATCTGCATTAGCAGTGATGTGCCTGATGTTTGGAAGTTTGAACACTGCTCACTGATACCAGTGGCTGCTTCAGGAAGTGGCCACCAAACAGGACTGCTTGACACAGTGTCTGAGTGGTGATGGGAATACAACTGGATCTCAGATAGGAAAGATCTGAGGCTCTCTGGCAATAGCCTTGAAACATCTTCAGGTAGACCACTGGCAACTCCTAAATTCCTTGTGCGCTCTCGCATTCTTACCGAATCTGATTGATATAGTACAAAAGCTAATATTTAATGTAGCTTTATGCGCTGATTGTGTTACTGCAATGCCCTGGTGACATGCTAGTCCAGACTCTCTGCAGCAGTGAAAGGGAAACAACCAGTCCTTTCTTCATGTTCCTTAGCGTGTGTCACACTGCAGAAGCCGCACGATTAGAGCCCACGTGGTCACCGAGCTTGATGGTGCAAGGAAGGGAGAATCAGTTCTTCAAAAAAGGTTTTCAGGCAGTCCAAATAGTAGTCGCTTGGCTTTGTTGCCTCGATGCTTGTGAGGATTCTTGGTTGCCGTAATTTTGATGCCAAAAACAATCACCTTTTAATGCGTACTCTGACATTTTGAGAGGATATTTGCCAGTCTGTCCCATCTCTCTCTGTCCTTGCAATTAAAGAAACTATAAATTCAGGTGCTTTTTACTTTAGAGTTCAACTACTTTGTGTTGCCCTGTTCCTTCTGTCGTATTTCATGAGAAGTTAAGTGTTTGATAGTCGCATTGCTTCTCCGAAACCCAGTCTCAGCATCCTCGCTGTATTTCACATCTGCAGGTTGTTGTCTGCTATTTTAAGAGTGTCGGAAGTAGAATCTAGAGCAATAAGGGCAAATCTCACCCACCTCCTGAGTCCCCAGATGGGCAAAGATATTGTGTGGTTCCTCAAGCGCTGGGCAAAGACGTACCTCCTGGTAGATGAAAAGCTGTATGATCAGGTAAGGATGTAACTTTTATGAATTAATTGGTGAGTATTAGCTGTAACCTTATCCTGTGAATGCAGGTGTCAGTGTAGCTATTTTAAAGTGCAGTGCTAAAGCATTTTTAAATGTTAAATGGGCTGCCATCTATTTTGGAATTTGTTTGAGAGTTGACGTTTTCTTCAGCTTTTTAATTAGAAATGTAAGTTGTTAGGGGACCCTTCTTGCACGTTTTGGTGCAAATGTGGTATTTGGGGTGGTTTTTTGGTCACTGACACAGCAGGATAGCATAGCACGCTCTCAGGCTGCACAGTGGGTGAAACTTGCTGACTAAGCAGTTTCATAAGCTTACTCCTCACTATCCATCAACTCTTACAGTCGATCTCTAATTCAGTGGTTGCCCTTGATGGATGATTTAGTGAGTAACCTGGTCATGATTCTGAATAAGATGTTTAACACCCCCCCAAGGCAGTATACATTAGCTCATGTCGTGCTCCTTCCTCTCCTCTCCCCATCCTCATTGTACAGATCATGATTTCAACGGTGCGTTCCTTGTAAAGGGCAACTTCTCACTGTGTTTGGGCAGCACTAATCACGGTTGGACCTCGATTTTGCTTATCGAACTAACTGTAATCCAGCTAGCCGACAGAGGCCGCTCCTCCTGAGGAGGTCCTGCTGGCTCTAACTTTGGAGAAGGAAGCCTCCTCCTCCTCCCCTTCATTTCCACTATTGAAGCAACTAAGAATACTAACGCTTCAGGAGGCCCCTCCTTAACACAAATCGGGATACCCCAGGCATGTAAATATTTGGAGTCATATTATTCAGCTTGGACTTAAAGCAGAGCTAAGAATTTGTAAAGGTACCAGCTGGGGAGGAATTGGAGAGCATGGAAGGAGGAGATCCACATGACAGAGAATGTGAAGAGAGGAAACAGAGTATATAAGAAATGCACACATTTGGTTTGTGTTGACATGTGAAAGTGATTGAAACCTCTGTTTACACCTTGTGCTCAGTCATGTAGATACCATCGAGTTTTAAAGGTAGAAATGACAGCAGTCTGCTGACAGAAAGCTCCTGCACAGATACTGCAAAATCCTTGTATTTCACTCTTGAGAAACGTTTTTTAAAGACAGGACAACAGGCAGTTTTGAGGAAACCTATTTTCATGTGCCAGGACCAGAATGTGACATCTTCCCTAAAAGATGTGTAGATTGAGGAACAACCTGCAGAAAGGAGATGCAGAAAAGCTGTGATGAGTTTTCACAAGATTCCATTCCAGGTCAACAGCTAGGTTTATTTCTCATCATTTTTATCACTGAATTTTAAGGAATGTCATTGTAAATTCACAGAAACACTTTTGAGAGATTTTGGGATCTTTCTTTTAATTTGTAAAGCTTCTGAACATTGATTGGCGTTAAAAGCTAGACGTACTCAAGCCTGATTTTGTAATGAGGTTGAAACTTCTGTTTTGTTGTGCTTAAAATTGTAAGATAAATTTGGCAAAGATTTTTCTATTCTAGGTATTCTTTGCCTTTGTCTGTGTAACATCTGTGTATTTTAAGTAGGGGAAGAAGTGACAGCCTGAAAAGAATTTGCTGACAATGATTACCATACACTTCGGGGTTCTGGCTTCTGTAAAACTCACTGATTTTAATGCTTTTCTTATAGATAAGTCTGCCATTTAGTACAGCATTTGGTGCTGATACAGAGGGTTCCCAGTGGATTGTGGGTTACCTTTTAGAAAAAGTGATCAGTAACCTGGCAGTGTGGAGTTCAGAGCAGGACCTTGCAAATGATACTGTACAACTGCTAGTAACGTTAGTGGAAAGGAGAGAGCGGTAAGTTGCTATACCTCTGGAAGTCAAAACACTTCTTTTGCTTCCTTTAAATTTTTTTGGCCACAGTCATGCAGATCTAGGGCACTTCATATTCGTGTCTCTGTAAGTGAAATGACTTCAGTAACGTGCTGTACGTGAAATCCCAGTTGTCTGACCGAGGGGGGGAGCGAGACCTGTGTCTGACAAAGCATAACCCAGCTTCTGTGGTCCTTTAGACGCGCACTCCCCTTCCCTTCGCCCCTCGCTCGTAAGCAGTGAGGAGGAACACTCTCCTGGGCTCCACTCCTATGGCAAGGATTTTGGCGTTGGTGTTTCTTTTTGTCGAACAAGTCCTTCCGGGTTAAGAGTTCAGATGCTGGCTAAACCGGTATAAAATATGTTTTTGTGAATGTATCAAAAATATTTTTCAAACCCATTTGGGGTTTGGCGGATTTGGACAAATTACGCAGTTTTCTTTGGTATTACAAACTGCGAAGCAGGAGATTCTTCAATGTTTCGCTTCTGTGACTTGCCATGCAATTCCACGTGCACTCATGCATTCACTCTGCTGCAAACTGTTGTGAAGCTTGAGGAATTCTCTTTTTAAAAAAAACCCTAGGAGCTAATTTTGGAACAAACTGCTGATTTTATCGTGGCATAATGACACTAAGCTTTTAATCCATGCAGTATGTCCATTAACTCACTGTCTGTGTGTGTGTAAAACTAAAGCACTTCCCTGCTTTTCTGCCATACGATTGAGCTGTTTTCAGAGTACGTACGTTAGAAATCTTAGAGGTGAGGCGTTCGTGAGGTGATGGTCACAAGGTGGTTCAGCCTTAGAGGAAATAAGAGATAAGTCTTCTGACAACTGCTAGCAACCTGATGTGCTCTGTTCATACAATTTCATGAAGTCTTTTCTTTAATTAAACTCTTTTCCCTCTTTTAGGGCAAACTTAGTCATTCAGTGTGAAAACTGGTGGAATTTAGCTAAACAATTTGCAAGGCGAAGCCCTCCTCTCCACTATTTGTCCAGTTCTGTTCAGAGAACACTAATGAAAGCTTTAGTTTTAGGAGGTTTTGCTCACATGGATACGGAAACAAAGCAACAATACTGGACAGAGGTAAGCCACTTTGATGCTTCTCTTGCCTCCCTCTTAGCAAGTAGAACAAACAAGTTAGCGTAGGGAATTTTATGGTGACACAAGATCAATTCCTGTAGAATCTTTTGATTCTGAGCATCAAATGTTGGTAATTTTTAAAAAATTATTCACTCTTTGAAGGTCAGTAGTTGTATGGCACCCACGGACTGCCAAAAATTGTAGGTAAAACATCACAACCTAAACAGAAACAGCTAGTAATTACCTGGAGGATCCGTGAAGGAGCCAGTATAGCAGCACTCTTGAAAGAGACTGTTACAGAAGTTTAAGTGTTTCCCTTGGAACTGTGTCATTTCTTCCTTTTTATTTTAATTCGGTGGTGTTATGAATTATTCACTTGGTGATTAATGACAGTAAGTAAAAATCTCGTGTGGGACGTAATGAGGAGCCTTGACCAGCTTTTTGTGCCCTGGCTCCATTAAAGCTGAGATGTTTAACACCAGCAAGGTTGGTGCTGGACAGTAGCTGAGGTGCGATCGGGGAGCACGGCATGAGTTTGCCAAGGGTTGGCCGCCTGAGAGAGTCTGGCTTTCGTTAGCAAAGCTATGAAATTAGGGATTGAAGGTAAGACTATAATGCACTGGAAGCAATTGGGAAAAACATTTAACTGTTTTTATGGAAGTTTCCAAATTGGTTCCAAACACAGCTGGCTACAAAAGGGATTGCACTAATGAAAGTCGTCATACGACAAAGATAATCGTGAATGTGAATCTTTAATGATTTCACTGATGAACTGTAACAGGTTTTTTTCCCCTCCTACTGAATTTGGAAGAGAATCAAATACTGTGAGCCAGAGAAAGTCATTGTCATTTGTTTAAACACTGCAAAGTAACCTAAATATTTATGGAGGCGCTTATTTTGAAACCAGCCTGCAGGCAATGACGGATAATGGGAATCGTTAATCACTGCCACTCCAGGTGACATTAATGTGACAGATAATAACAGAATTCAGCTGTTGGAAACCAAGTGGTTGATGGTTGTACTGCCGTGCCAAAAGCAGCCCTTGAGCTTGCTAAATTACTCAGACTTCATGCCCCCATATAATACTGTGCGTATCTTAATGTGACTCTCCTGTCATTTTCAAGGTTCTTCAGCCACTTCAGCAGCGATTCTTGAATGTGATAAACCAAGAAAACTTTCAGCAGATCTGTCAGGAGGAGGAAGTGAAACAGGAAATCACTGCTACGTTAGAAGCACTCTGTGGCATTGCTGAGGCTACCCAGATTGATAACGTAGCGATTCTCTTCAATTTCCTGATGGACTTTCTTAATAACTGCATTGGATTAATGGAAGTGTACAAAAACACACCAGAGACTGTTAATCTCATCATAGAAGTCTTTGTTGAAGTTGCACATAAACAAATTTGCTACCTTGGAGAGGTAAAAGCAACCGGAAGGGGAAGGAGGGGAAGAGTGTGTATGTGTGTACAGTGCTGTCCCTTAAACAAAATACTGTAGTGATTTTTAGGTTCTATAGAGAAAGAAATGCTATATGGTCACGTCTTTCAGAGGAATTCCTTTGGTTAAAAACATACCCTCACAAAGATTAGAAGGAGGACATCTCCTGTATCCAGAGAAGTGTGGCCAGCAGGTCGAGGGAGAGGATTCTGCCCCTGTACTCTGCTCTGGTGAGACCCTACCTGGAGTGCTGCGTCCAGCTGTGGAACCCTCAATATCAGAAGGATATAGACTGGTTGGAGTGAGTCCAGAGGAGGCCACGAAGATGCTCTGAGGGCTGGAGCACCTCTGCTATGGGGACAGGCTGAGAGAGTTGGGCTTGTTCAGCCTGGAGAAGAGAAGGCTCCGGGGAGGCCTTATAGCACCTTCCAGTACCTGAAGGGGCTACAAGGAAGCTGGGGGGGCCTTTTTACAAGAGCCTGTAGTGACAGGACAAGGGGGAATGGGGTTAAATTGAAAGTGGGGAGGTTTAGATTAGATATCAGGAAGAAGTTCTTCACGGAAAGGGTGGTGAGGCACTGGCACAGGTTGCCCAGAGAAGCTGTGGGTGCCCCATCCCTCGAAGTGTTCAAGGCCAGGCTGGATGTGGCTTTGAGCAACCTGGTCTAGTGGAAGGTGTCCCTGCCCATGGCAGGGGGGTTGGAACTAGATGATCTTTTAGGTCCCTTCCAACCCAAACCATTCTATGATTCTATGACATCTAGACACTACTTCTGCCAGTAAACTTAACCACAAGTCATCACTAGTCTGCACGGTTTTGTGTGATAAATGCGCACCAGAGACATGCTGCCTTGGTCTAAACAAGGCGTTAAGAGGTGCCAAGAAGTTAACGAGTAAAATGAGCCTGTGCAGAACACTTAGGTCTGTGCACTGTTGGCTGACTTGGTGTTTGCATCCAGAAGAGTTTCTGCCTGTTCAAACAGGTTGTGCAGAAACATTGCATCGTGGCTCCAAACCTCGAGAGCCAAAGTGAGTCCCCGAGGGATTTTGGTGATCTGGCTCATGAGATTAGTGAGATGGGTCAGCCTGTCCCAAGGCACTCCTCTTTGTTAAGATTGAGGGATTGATAACAGTAATGTTCTGCTGTTTCAATCAGTAGCTCATCAACATAGGCTTAAGTGTTCTTGCTGTTTAAGGTGGTGGTTTCCTTGCTGATTCTGAGTGCAGTTGTTACAGAAAGTGGTTATTTAACTGAAATTAAAATTTTGAGGTATCATCAACGAAGTAATGCCATCTTAAAGTGTGTCACATTTAGCACAGGGAATTTTTCTTACTGTCTAACGTTACTTTTTTAGGCCAAAGCCATGAACTTGTATGAGGCCTGCCTCACTCTGCTCCAGGTGTATTCCAAGAATAATCTAGGTCGGCAGCGGATAGATGTTACAGCAGAAGAAGACCAGTACCAAGATCTCCTCCTTATTATGGAGCTTCTCACTAATCTTCTTTCAAAAGAATTCATTGATTTCAGTGATACAGGTATGAAGTACCCCATGGCAGGGGGGTTGGAACTAGATGATCTTTAAGGTCCCTTCCAACCCAAACCATTCTATGATTCTATGAAGGAATTGGTACTTGAACCATAACCTGTGTTCTAAACTGTAAAAACCATCAGGGGGCTTGTGTTCGATCCAGGTAAAGTGAAAACTGATGTTTAGACTCGATTGGATCGGGATATGGAAGGTGCTGTTTAATGTGCCAATAGCAAAGGAAGGATTTTCCACAGTATTTTAGCATCTGAAATTATTATTGCCCTCCTAAAATAAATAGGACATGTGTGAAACAGATTGAAACCTGAATGTTGCAGGTGTGAACAGGCGGCAGCAGCAGTTTCGTACCAAAGAACAGGTAGAGAAGTCAGAACAGTAGATTACCGCAAGAGGGCAGAGAGATTATCGTAGTACAGGACCCAGCTTTTGTGAAATGCTGAGCTCATTAACATTCCATCACGTCGGAGGGTTTTCTGTATTCCTCATTCACAGAACATGCTTTATGGTATGTGGGTGTGGCTAAGGGTTCTTTTTTGTATCCCAGCCTGCTCTCTCCTTCCGAATACTTGCCACTTAAAGTCACAGTAGGCCTGAATATGGTCTGCCCGTTCCAGCCTAGCTGTGCTGCCTTACTTTCCAATCAGCTGAAACACATTTGCGCGATTCCGGTCTTGCCCTGTCCTGTACGGTTTGCACAGGAAACATGCTCAGTAACAAACTGAGCGTTGAACTTGTTAGGTTGCGTTCAACTTGTTCGTTCCTTCTCCGAGGTACATCTTGAAGGATGAGGAGAACCTTGTGCTCTGGGATTAAGTGCATCAGTCTGGGTTTTTTGTCAGGCACGCACAGCACAAATACAGAACCAGATTCACACAGTGGACAGCTCAGTGCCATGTAACGTGTTCTCTTTGAGGTCAGGCATTGGATCTTCGTTGCATGGAAAACAATGTAAATTACTATGAAACTAAGGATGGGAAACGTAGGACTTACCTATACCTGGAGAAAACTTGGCAATGCCTAAACTACAAAATTTTCTGCGTTAACTCTCGCATTTTTTTTATGCTCGTGTTTATAAGATATATATGAACATAGGTAAATACATAACATACCGATATATGTGCAGAAGCACAGTAGTATTTTGCTCGCTGTGATGGAAGGGAGCCCGCGGAGGGTCTGAGGTGTTCTGGCTTGGCGTGCCATCTGGTACACGTGATTAGGAAGCACTTAGTCCTAATGAATATAAATACAGAGTGATGTAACAGCCTCCACTCACTAAGTTTCTATTTTAATGCAGTGCCTCGTGTTTTGGTTTGGGGGGAGTGGAATAGTCCTATTTTTAAAAATGTCTGTATTATAAAGAAATGCAACTCTTCCTTCAATATGTTAAACCCTCCTTTTATACGAAACATTGTTTGTCTTTTCCACAGATGAAGTATTTAGGGGACATGAGCCAGGGCAAGCTACAAATAGATCTGTATCGGCAGCAGATGTTGTCTTATATGGGGTTAACCTTGTTCTGCCCCTAATGTCCCAGGATCTGCTGAAGGTAAGTATGGTTTTATGCGTAGCTGCTAGAATATGAAAACTTTATGGTAATGAATTCCCAGCTTTCATTCCTATATGCATTCCACCTCCATAAGTTGAGCTTTCTAGGCTTTTTGAACTGTTTAACTGTTCCATAATTTGAGATACTGTTTGAAAAGAAATACTGAGAAAATGTGTGTTCGAAGGGCCGAAACAAAATTTTTCTCCTAGAAGTGGGTCGGTGCAGGTCAGCAATTAGCCAGACCTGAAACGTGGTTTGTGGAATCCTTGTTCTGACAGTGTCAGCAGTGTGACAGGAAGCATAAATAGTGATATTTGTAAATAGATAAATGAAAAGAGCCAGCTGTATAGTGAAAGTAAGCGTTACTACTTGCTCCTGAGTTGAAGGGTGTACCCTGGGCACCCCTCTGTTGTGCTCCAAATGCTCCCGAGGTTTTTCCACCCCAGAGCGAGGCATCCTCATGTCTGAAGTCAAACTCCTTGGGTTTGTGTGGAGCAGCTAACCAAAGTCCCACCTCCCACTGTGCAGCTTTAGCACTTCACTGGCCCCGTGTTTGCTAATAAAGCTGTAGCCATTCTGGTGGCTCTGAAGTTGTCTGCTAAAATTGTCTTGTCGTCTTCGGTGGGAAGCACCAATCCTGTCTCTTTGTACAGATGGAAATTATGTCAGAATGGGGTTCTGCGATTGATTCTAAAATGCCATGTTTTTCTTTTGACAGTTTCCATCCCTGTGTAATCAATATTACAAATTAATCACTTTCATCTGTGAGATATTCCCTGAGAAAATTCCACAACTTCCAGAGGACCTCTTTAAGAGCCTAATGTACTCGCTGGAGTTAGGAATGTCATCGTATCCTTTATGGAGCTTGGGAGTGTTTAAGAATCGGAGTCGCTTTTATAAGGACCTGTTAAAAATCTGATTTATTGTTCTTTGCATTTTTTCCCTTTTCTGTCAGTGTCTGTACCTCTGCATCAGTAATTGACTCTTACGCTCTGGTGACTGAGGGTTTCGCTGCAGCATCTTTGAGATTCTAGTATTAGCCGAACTTTCTCTGACTTGTCGCTTGAATGCAGCCTTTAAGTGGTTTAGCCTGTAAGTGTTTTCTGGCAGCCATTCCTGCCCCCTCCATTACTTCACTTCAGAGTGTGTAACTTCATAAGCCTTCAGCTGGTATCCCAAAGCCGTTCCTGAATTAGTTTCTCAGCTGGGAATACAAACCACTGCTGCTGTTCCACTGGGCTGGTTCCAGAGCATTTCCTGTCAGGGTGCCAATGGGCTCTCCCTCTCATAAGGGGGGTACCATTTTCACTAATCTGTGGCACGTGTCAGAAACAGATGAGCTTGACCATACGGGACTCTTTCTGAAAATGTTATGTCAGAGAGGGTTGTGTTACCTTAGGCCGTGTAGCTGACGAAAGAGGGCAGCAAAGTTGGAATTCTTTTCTTCCTCTTTTTCCATCTTTTTAGAATTTATTTTTTAACTAACAGCTTTATAGTAAAAGAAACATAGAAAAAGAAGTAAAAGAAGGAACATGCAAGCATATAAAATATTTTCTAGTGACACAACTGGGAAGTCTTACCACAATTTAACTGAAATCTGACTTGGATTCTTTAACGCCCGTTATCAGAATGAGTTCAGAGGTTTGCCAGCTCTGTCTGGAAGCTGTAACACCGTTAGCAGAACAGTGTGCAAAAGCACAAGAAACAGATTCAACCCTTTTTCTAGCAACAAGGCACTTTCTTAAGGTAAGGCATCTGCGCTTCGACTTACTTTGGGTTTTTGTGTACAGGCAACGTCGAGAAGCCAAACAGTGATTGTATCCGACCGGGTTAATTGGGACCACACATACAGGGAGAAACAGCCTGTTACCTAAAACCGGACGGTTTAAGAAGAAGGAGAGCATGAAGGACTGGAGTACAAAGGAGGATGGAGGCATAGAGGGAGAAGATTACTTACGGCCAAGACCTGAGCCTCTCAGAACGCAGTTTATACTTACCTGTGCTCTGCATGTGAGCTCTAGGATCAACCTGATTGATGATTTTAGTAGATACATATACTGTGAAAGCTGGGAAATTAAAAGCTCCCAGAATTATGTGAACTGGAGGCTGAGTACTAAAACAAAAGGCAGAAAAAAGAGCATAGTTTGGAACAAGAAAGAAAATGCTGTCATTTATTCAATGAATTTTGTGTTTTCTTAACCCAGTATCGTATTTAGTACTTGCATTTTATGACCATCCACTCTTATCTCATTGAGTTTGGGAGTCGCCTGGTAGCAACCAGGTTCCTGCTAACTGGGACCAAAATGGTGGAATTTGTGTTATTGTCTTCTGATTTTGTAAAACTTCAGTTTTCTTTGAGACTTTTCTTACCAAACTGACCTGCTGGGTATTGCTCATTAAAAGCGCGTGTCAGTCAAGCAGAGAGAATGAGAAACGCCTTAAATAATTTTATTTGTCTTTATATTTCTTCTAAGCTGACACAGGTTTCTGCCATTTCTATAAATTTACACTTAAAATTGTAATGCTGTTCTTGTTAATCTCTTCCCCATTTGGCTTTCTGTGAGCTGTAGCAGTCTCCAAACCTTGAGGAAGAAGTTCCCTGTTTTATTCTGGAAGAGCAAAGGCTTTTTTCATTATTTCTGTGGCTTATCTGCAGCTTTTGGAGAAAAGCACAAGAGAGGCCGTGTCTCAGTAACAGGTTTCAGTGCTCTGAGGTGTGAATTCATGCCGTTAAGCCAAGACTCAACGTCTTTTATAAGAACTTGGCTTTCCAGACAACAACGCTGGATGTTTGTAAATCTGTGTTCATTGTTATTACTGCCAGAAGTGAGGATGAGGTTCAGCACATGTTGGTAAAACAAAGTTAAGTTTGCACTTCCGTGACTACTTCTGTTTTGTGATTTCAGATGGTCTTTGACATGCTGGTACTTCAGAAGCACAATACAGAAATGACAACTGCAGCAGGGGAAGCGTTCTACACGTTAGTGTGTTTGCATCAGGTACGGCATTTAGACGCTTGCACCCTGAAAGCCTGTCCTGTGTTACAGGAGGGTGGTTGCCTATGTCTGGCAACTCATCCTTCAGGTTGGAAGGACCCTCAGGAGGTCTGTAGGCCAACCTCTTGCTCAGAGTGGGATCAACGCTGAATTCAGATTGGGTTGGTCTGGACTTTGTCCAGTTGTGTCTTGAAAACCTCCAAGCTGGATATTCCAAAGCCTTTCTGAGCAGCCTCCCGAAGGCCACTGTTACCCTTACAATTCATGAGCTTTCAGCTCCAGCCGGGCAGTCTTGGTGGCCCACCACTGGACTCATTCAAGTTCATCAATACCCTTCTTGCATAAAGGAGTCCAAAACCAGGCACAGTATCCATATCTAATCTAACAAGTGCTGTGTAAAGACAAATACTGAACACAGCCCAGAATGCTGCGAGTGTTCATTGCTGACAGGGCTGCTGACCTGCTGTCCCCCGGGACCGTCAAGTCCTTTACTCAGCAGAACTGCTCCCCAGCCTGTAGAGTTGCAGGGAGTTAGTCCGCTTCAGCTTCAGGACTTTGCATTTGCCCTTGCTGAATTTCATCAGGTTTCCTGTCAGTCCATTCTTCCAGCCTGACTAGGTGTCTCTGAATGTCAGCCCTGCCCTTGAATGCACCGGCTGCACTCCCCAGTTTGGTTTCATCCACAGATTTGCGGAGAGTGCGTTTCCTCTCCTCCTCCAGGTGACTGACTGAAATAATCAACAGGACGAGGCTCAGTCGAGAACTCTCAGTGCCGCTTGTAACCCGCGTCCTGGTGGAAAATGAGCCATTAACCACAATCCTTTACAGGCTGACAATACAGGTGTGCTCTTATCCATGTCCACCCATCCAGATGATAAAATCCCAGCTTGGTTGCAAGGATTCCATGCAAGATTACTAAAGACTTGCTAACATCAGGCATCCACTGCTCTCTGCTCATCCATGGATTTAATTTCATCAGAAATGCCCCCGATGAGCAGAGAAGTCAGGTCGGTAAAGCAGGATTTACTGTTGGTAAATCTGTGCTGGCTGTTCTCAGTCCCTTTTGCTTTCACATGCTGAGACAGCTTCCAGGAATACTCGCTTCATGATTTTTTGTTGTTAGAGATGACCGAGAGCAGCCTTGTAATGACATGAGCCAGCTGTCTGAACCCTTGGATGGATTCTGTGGGGTCTCATGAGCTTGTGTGCGTCAAGAATTCTCAAGGGATCCTTGGGGGATCTCCCCACCATCTCCCTCTTACTCCTGTGGGGGTTCTTCTTGAACCGTGTCTCCAGTCATAAAGGTCTGGGAAGACCTGTCGGTGAAGACCAAGGCAAGGAAAGCATTGAGTATTTCAGCCTTATCTGTTACCCCAAAATCATCTGCTCCGTTCCGCAGCAGGACCCACATTTTCCCTGTTGTTCTCCTGTTAACGAACTGGTAGAAGCTGCTCTTGTCCTTGATGTCCCATGACAAGTTCAGCTTTAGCTGAACTTCACTTTTCTGTCATTGCTCTTATCCGAATGACGTTTGTTTTCTTCCTTTGTAGCTGTCCCTGTTTCTGTCTCCTGCTTGCGTCCTCCTTGCTCTGGAGTTGTGCTGTGAGCTCCCTGCTTAGCTGGGTGACTGTACGGATGTGCTTATATGGTTTTCCTCAGTATCTGGACAAGCCATTCTTGTGCTTGGAAGAAGTTGTCCTTAAAGACCTGACAGCTCCCCTGAGCTCCTGTCTCTAGAGCTCTCTGCCACAGGATCCCACCCATCAGTGTCCTGCATAAGCTGAAACCTGCTCTCATGATATCCAGGGTCTGTGCTTGGCTGCCTTCTTTCCTCGCTCTCCTATGGGTCCTGAACCCCACTAGTTCATGATCATTGTAGCCAAGGCTGCCACTGATTACCACAGCCCTGACCAGCTCTCCCTCGCTGTGAGTAGCAGATGCAGAGTCACCCCTGGGTGGCCCATCTGGCATTCGAGCAAACGTCAGGGAGATAATCTCTCATAAGCCTGATTGGGAAACTTCCTCAAGTTGTTTGAAGATGACACGGTCCACTGCTCACCCTGTTTTGGTGATTTGTAACAAGCTCCCACCATGGTGTCCTCTTGACCCCCTCTCTGATCACAACCCATAAGCACTTGACTAGATTGTTGCCCGGTCCATGGAAAGGCATCCTCAGTTTGGGCTCTGCCCGGTTCTTGCCTAAAGAGTCTGCGAGTGTCCGTCAGGGCACTCCAGTCATGCCACCCGTCCCACCACATCCCAGTCCCTGCAGTGATGCTTCAGCTCTGCATCTGCACATGGAGCTCTAGCTCTCCCTGGTTCCGGAGCTGAATGCATTTCAGCACAGGCATGTGCAGCTGGCCTCCTTTCAACCTTTTTGTCCATCCTGATGAGCACTCTTAAACCCATCCCACTTCCTTGGGTTCTTACTGCTCTGGGTCTCTGTCTCCCCACATCTCTACCAAGCTGTTACCACCATCCCCCAGCGTGCCCTCCCACCAGGTTGGCACACCTTCGGCAGAGATGTTCCTAAGCCACTTTGTCATATGGATCCTCTCTCGTTAGCAGCCCTCGTGCCTCCCGGAGGGACTCATGCTTATATAAGACAAGACCCTGTGACACCAGACATAGGTGAGGGAACCGCCATTCTGGCTCCCGTGTCCTTCACCCTTGCTCCCAGAGCTCAGCAGTCACTCTGGACTTGCTCCACGTGCCCCAGGGCAGTGTCCTTTTAGTCATGTTTCACATGCTTAAAGGCTGAGAGAGTTGGGCTTGTTCAGCCTGGAGAAGAGAAGGCGCCGGGGAGACCTTATTGCAGCCTTCCAGTACCTGAAGGGGCTACAAGGAAGTTGGGGGGGGGACATTTTACAAGGGCCTGTAGTGACAGGACAAGGGGTAACGGGTTTAAATTGAAAGTGGGGAGGTTTAGATTGGATATCAGGAAGAAGTTCTTCCCGGAGAGGGTGGTGAGGCACTGGCACAGGTTGCCCAGAGAAGCTGTGGATGCCCCATCCCTGGAAGTGTTCAAGGCCAGGCTGGATGAGGCTTTGAGCAACCTGGTCTAGTGGAAGGGGTCCCTGCCCATGGCAGGGGGGTTGGAAATCGATGGGCTTTAAGGTCCCTTCCAACCCAAACCACTCTCTGGTTCTACGTTTCTTTGTCCTGTTTCCGTCCAAGTAAGCACGATAGTAAGCAGGAAGCTGTTAGAAAGGAATCTAAGCTCTCCGTCCCAGGGCAGGGAATCTAGAAAAGGGACAGCCTGTGGGAGGAGGCAGTCGGTACAGCACACCGAACACTGGGCAGGCGTGGAGAAAGAGGACAGCGGTTTGCAGGAGTGAAGTAAGAGCTAGAAGGCACTTTGAAGGGTGTGCCGTAGAGTTCTCTTCTTACCCTGCACCGCAGAGCACCATGCCACCGGGCTCTGAAGGCTTCTTCAGCCTTACTAAAGAACCCCATCTGACCGAAGGGCTTTATCTGGTTTGGAGGTAGGTGAAAGGTCTGTAGTCGCTTCTGGTACACTAGTCAGTGAAACTGGGTAACAGGAGGAGAGGTGCTGATAGTTTTCTGTCACAGCCTTCATTCTGGATTTTGTCCTGATGAGAGAAGTTGTGTATATTGTGCCTTTGGTTTTTTTGAAGTTAATAAGATTCTTGTTTATTTAACAGGCTGAGTATTCAGAGCTAGTTGAAACGTTGCTATCAACTCAGCAAGATCCAGTAATTTACCAGCGGTTAGCAGATGCCTTCAACAAGCTTACTGCAAGCAGCACTCCTCCTACACTGGACCGTAAGCAGAAGATGGCCTTCTTAAAGAGTTTAGAAGAATTTATGGCAAATGTTGGTGGACTTCTCTGTGTAAAATAAACAACAAAACTCTATGCCTAATTTAGACCCTTTCTGCAAAATGCACTGAGAAATGCTGAATGCTGACTAAATCTCGTACCTGTCTCTGGGTTCTTTGCAGCCATCTCAGATTCTAGAGAACCTGGAAGTTTGAACGTAACGTGATGGAATAGGAGAGGTCAACTTTGAATCAGCTTCTGCTATGATGTGTTAGCTGCAATCTGTCGTACTTGTGCGTGGGAGAGAACGAATGGGAAATTGGAATTTAATTTTTTTCAATAGATGTACAAACAGATACGGGCATAACGAAAAATAAACACAGTGCCTTCCCCATCCCCCCGCCCCACACTGGCTTAAATGTGAGTGGCCAGATAAACGTACAGATTTCAACCCAAAATCATGTTAGAGTGCGACGCAGATACATATAAAGCTCTAAACAGTTTAGCTGATTTTAAGCTTTATTTTTCCTCTCTTAAAGTTTGAGTTTGTGTCCTAATGGGGAAGAAAAACCAAATGGTATTTTAACTTGTGTTTAGTTCTGTATTTCCACATCAGCCTGCCACGGCACATTTAATGCAGTGCAGGTTTCCACATCATGTTCTGCTGCCTAAAGTTCGGAGAAAAAAAGGTGTATATTTTTGTTTCCCTCAACTGAACTTTAGGAACTGTAGCCATTTCATTGCCTTAATTTAAAAGAAAAAGAAAAAAAAAGCTCATATACTTCAGATAAGGAATTTAAGGCAAGATTTGACTCTTTGGAGTTGGTTTAGGATGTTGGCATTAAGCTGCTGTGGACCTGCTGCAGCCCTTCGTGTTGACGTGTCCTTTTGGAATGAGTGTCTGGTGCAAGGTTCAGGTGTAGTTTTACTTTCAGTATCTCGTTTGATTCATACCTGGGTTGCACACAACTGCAATGTATTTCTACACTGAACTGTTTGCTTAAGCAATAACAACTCGAGGTGTAAATTACTGGCAAACTTTTTAAAGTTGGGGCATTAGCTAAAACAGTTATGCTAGAACAGGGGTGTAAAAGCCTTTTACTCAAGGGCCACGTGTGTTTGACGTGAGCTGAGAAAGGTGATTGGGCTGTGTGGTGCTGGGGGGGATTTGGGGTTTGCTGAATCTAGCTCTACTTCTGCAGAGCCCTCCCAGCTGCTCTGCTCTTGCTCGGATTTTTGTGGCAGCACTTGAGCGATTACGACAGCAGAATGTAGTGCCCTGAGTACAGTGGACCAACAAGGGAGAGCAGCACACAAACGCAAAAGCAAGGCCTGCTTTGTCTCCAGTCGTGAGCCAGAGACAACTGAAGCAAACACAAGTGCTGCATGTCTAGTAAAATCAATTTTTGTGGAAGTACATGGGGGCAGAAAGTGGGCCCTTTTGCTGAAAACTAGATTATGCTGTTGGATATTTCCCCTGTGTTTTTAAAATTTATATAAAATGTACAGTATACACCTTTACATGGCTGTGTATAGCATCGTGTTTGCAACTCTGTGCCATTCTTCAGCTATTCATCTCAAAACTAGTCACAATAGCCAGAATTTTTAAAAGACATAAATCTGTAATACTGTACTGTAAGTGATCTAAGGCTTTTTTAGTTTTCAGTTAAATCCATACCTGTCTCAAGCATGGACCTGCAAGGCCAAAAATGCCATAGCTTCATTTCACTTTTCTCTTTTAATTTATGTGAAAACCAGGCTAGGGCAGATTTCCCCGTGAAAACGCAACTGTACCACTTGTCACATTGTACCCTCCCAGCCGGTATTTTATTCCTAAGGCCATCTGCATAGCGTTTTACAGCAGGGGTGTTGCACTCAACGTGTCTTCTTGAAAACCTAATGCTTTTCTTCAGCAGATTTCTTGACCGTGCACTTGCGCAGAAGGTAGTAATCCTGATCCTTCTGGTTTTAAACTCTTCTGATGGCTGATTTTTAAAATTTGTCTGGGTTTTGCCATGTTATTGAAGCTGCTTCTGCAGTTTCTCTGGGTTTTCATGGGGTAGGACAGCAGTTCTGAATGCCCATTTTTTCCTGATGAGGGGCAGTAAAGCCTGGGAACAGAAGTGCCAGCAGGAGCTGCCACTTTGTTGTGACGTGCTCGATGTCAAATACCTAGGCCAGAGGTTTCAAAGAGATCATAGCAAATACCTTCATATCTTTTGGATCTGACCGAATAACTGATAGGCTCAGTCATCATTTCTTTCCTAACTAGCTCTGTCACTATCATTTTTGCTGATCCTAAAGCTGGCTCACTGTTTAAAAATATTTATTAACTTTAAAAACTTGAAATCCTCTTGCGGGTGGTGGGTGGGAGGAGAGCTCGAGTTAGTGTTCAGGATGAAGTAACGTGCATAGCCGTTACTTTCCTTACCAGGCCCGTTGGGTTGGAACCAGCAGAGACACCCAGCATCTTTTGCCCATCAAGACTTGCTGCAGTATGGACGCTTACTTTCAAAGTCTAGTTTTGAAGCTTGCTTAAAACTTTCCTTTTCCCTTTGTTTAATATTATGTTAAAGGGAAACTGTCCTAGTAAGGAGTTTTTTTGTAATTTTCCTGCTTTCTGTTATGCTAGACAACATTCTTCCTCTTGTTTCTTGATTTTTCTTCCATTCTTGTATGTTCAACAGAAACCTTTCCATGCCATTTTGTGTTTCTTTTAGAGCAAATGCTAAGATGTCTCTGCTTAGTGACATCCATGAAATTGTTGCGGAAGGTTCTGGGAATAAGTGTTATTAATTCGTACTTCTGCTGGCTAAGTGGCTGCTCCTACCTGAACTATTTGACTTCTATATCCCTTCCAAATAAAAAAAAAAAAAAAAAAGAAAAAGAAAAAACCCTTCAGTGATCTTCTACGCACCCAGCTGCTGTACATCTAGATGCAAGAGCATCATTCAAGTCCTAGGAGAGACGCGTAGACCATTTTTAGTGAACACTGAGCGTTGGCTCCATGTAAGTGTTCGGCAGTCTTTGTAGCATCACTCTACTGATTTTCCATTTACTGTGCAAAGTGAAGAATGGTTCTAAAAATGCTCCTGCTTTCTGAAGGGGGAAAAAAAAAGGCAACTCGAAGTGAATTATAAATGCTGCATGTTATAATTGCAACAAATATATTTGTCTAGACTTTTTTTTGCTAAAACAGATTATTGCTCCATTATGTTCATTCCGAGACTAGAAATCGAGTAGCTTCTTTCCCGTTTGCCAGCTCCTTCCCCGTGTAATAGCTAGTTCTGATGCTGGCATAATAATTTTCTGTTGTTCAGCCTGTAATTTTCAATGCTGGTAAGCATGACCATCTAGCTGGGTCATGAAAGTCAAGACCTTCTTGAAAGCACAGATACACATGGACAGGGAGAAGTGGACGACCACTGGATGAAAATTCCACTTTTGTGTGCATTTATGCCTTAACCATCTTGGCTGAATTGCCGCCAGAATCTGCTCCTCATTGCCCAGAGGTTTGTGTTTCACTATTCAGTGATAAAGGGCTCACCGTTCTCCTCAGGAACGAGAAACTTGTTTTCTCAGCATGTCCAAATCTCCCTCGGTGAAAGAGAGTGGCTTGAATCAGTCATCTCTCATGCTAGTGCATAGCACTCACTAAAGCCCCAGTGTTTACCTGGGTAAATCCCTTTATATCCAAGCCATGTAGTTGTAGGAAATAAGCTTGCTCAGAGCAGTCAGTTGACCATTTAAAATCTAATTCTCCAAAGGGTAAAGCAAATTCTAACTATTGATGTGTAAAAACTATTCACAAAATACAAATGGCAGCATTTCTCATGTAAAACACTTCAAGTAATTTCAGTTTTGGTTACATAATTACGTAGGAAGGGGTGTTTTTATGGAAGTAGCTTGATAAATATAAGCGCAGGTGTAGGAGCCAGGCTCCTCTAATTTTATATTGGTTGTCCCGCTGGATCCTCGGTGGCTACTGGCAAGTCGCTGGAACTGTGTTGTTGTTAAAGCGGTCATACCTACCTACCTCACAGGGATGTTGTGAGGATTAGCTTATGCCTATAGAATGCATTGAGGATCTGAGATGCTATGTAAATATTGCATATTTTAATTTTACTTTGTGAGGTGTAAGATTTACTGTGATGAAAACCAGAAGATTTTCACAATTGTAGAGCCCAGTAGAGGCAGGAGCGGTGCAGCACTCCCCAAGACTGGTCTGCTGCAGTACAGTAGAGCTTGCTGTACGCTGGAGTTGTTTCAGCTCCAGCCAAATGAAGTGGTGGCTGCTGCTTCAGTAGGATTCCCCACCAGTGTGCCTCGGTTCTGGTCTACATAGCTAGCAAGTTGTTATTCAGGCTTTGGTGCCTCTGCTTGTGACAAGTGCCACTTGTGGTCATAGGGGATTTGGGTTTGGTTTTTTACACTTCTCTGCAAGCAACAAACCCCACTCACTTCTCCCGTATCTCTTCCAGTCACCCAGTATAGCCAAAGCCTAATGATAACAAAATTTAAAGACCCAGCCCTACCCCCTCCCCTGTCAGTTTGCTTTTAATATGAGTAGGTTGTGCCCTCTTTGCAGTGAATGAAATGATGCTTTCTAATCATGGAGGGTGATTTGCTGAAGAGCCTTAAGCTCTCAGCTGTCTTACACAACCCTTTTTTCAGTATGAGATTTCTTGGGGCCCTAGCAACTGAGAAATGAGATATTCCTGGCTTTCCCTTCTCCTCAGTGAATTAAACTGGATTCTGCTTTTCCATTTCATCCCTTTCCCTATGCTGCTTTTCCTGTCCTTTTAAGCCATTCTTATAAAAGACTTGGAAGACCCTTCCAACCTCAAGGGAAAGATAAACCCATGTGATTTTCCAGTTCATTACAGCTTGATACTTGAAATAGATAAAATCCTTTCTAATAGCGTTCCTCAGCACATTTCAGTCTCCCGTTGAACCATTCTAGAGTTTATAATTAGGAAAAAAATATTATCCTCTTTTATTTGTTCCCTTTGTGCAAAATGAGGAACCTCCATGCAGTGAACATGCAGTTTTAAGGCAATAAACGCTAGTACTGCTGTTGGTCAAGTGTGTAAATATTTTAAATGTATAATTCAGTACTATGTTGAGTTTATATATTAAAGGCAGGGATTGAAGTGCTAGGTGATTGCAAGTATTGTTTTACCTGTACAGTTGAAGACGTGAAGTCGCGTAGAAATATCTCACCATTTGTTGCAATAAGACTTGGGAAATGGCCGTGTAATCAAGCCTTATCACAACTGAATTTTCAACTTTGAAACGAACACTTTGTGTATTTTTAAGATCCATAAGCAGGAGGAGGATAAAATTGTTTTCCACTAAAGACTTTTATTATTTTGTTTTGGCCGTGTGTGATTTGTGTGTATTCTTTAGTATTTTTCTAAAATCTCACCTGTGTTGAATCCTTGAAAGAGCGTTTGTTCTACCTCCTTACGGTAGAAACAAAAATAGGAATGTTCTGAAACCTCAGGCTACACGTTGTGCTCTTTGGCTACTGTGAATGCACAGTAATTGGGTTAAAGTTGAT